TGTTCTAGATGCACTTCCACAGTTATTAATTGAGAGCTTTCGATGCCTGTACCATTTTTGCATTGGTATAATTGTGTGGCAAGTCCAATCATACTTCTATGCCCAGGGAAATCGAGAAATTTTCCAACCCGAAAAATTCCTCGAACGGACCGGGAATTGAACCCAGCCACCTCCAGCATGGTCTTGCTTTGTAGCTGCGCCTTTACCGACTGAGCTAAGGGAGGCAGCTTAATCCCACCATTATCAATATACCTGATGACAATCACCAACTGCTCGTGGCAGCCACAATCGCTCGTATCATCTGCAATGATTGCAACTGGTTTTTCTCGCAAGGTTTTCGCAATGTTCCGCAACTTGATGCCGAACATTCAACATGCTTTAAAGATGTTATATAGGACAATCCCGAAATTATTGCAACGCACCTTAACAACTGTAACTTTTTAACCACGGTAACAAATGACAGAATTTTCAGAGAGGAATTCTTTGTAAGACAACAATAGACCAAGGTTCAATGGCAAACTAATACCACCTTTTCAATTGGGGAATCCAAAAGCTGTTTTTAAACTTTGTACGATTGCAAAAAAGTCCATCCTCAGAATTCCTTGAGGGTCTTTTCGAAATTTTTAGAACTCTATGAGCTCTTTTGAAATTTTTCTCAGAAGTCCACTAGAATTATTTTTAGAACTCTTCTTGACTTTTACTCATAACACCTTGGAATTGAAATTTCCTTAAAGTTTCAGAAGAATTTCCTCAGTATTATCCAGAAATTATTCCCGGAATGAGCTAGAAATTATCGGTAGTCCCTAGAAATTTTCCTCAAAATCCCTTTGGAATTTCACTCAAAATTTAATTTTCTCGGTATTCTTTTCGGAATTATCTTGGAACTATCCGCAGGATTCACTAGAAATTATTCGAAGAATTTTCTTGGAATACTCCCAGAAATCCTGTCTTTTTCATTATCCTTGAGGTTATTCTCGGATGTTTTTAAGAACTCTCCTAAGATCTCTTTTGAAATTCATTTCAGAAGCCACTGGAATTATACTTAGAACTCTTCATGATTTTTCTCAGAACACCTTGGAACTGAAATTCATTTAGATTTTCAGAAATTTTTCCCGGAATGAGCTGGAAAGTATCCTCGGAATTCGCTTGAAATTTAGCTTAAAATTCCTTTGGAATTTCACTCAAAATTTGATTTTCTCGGTATTCTTTTCGAAATTATCTTGAAATCATCTGCAGGATGCACTAGAAATTCTCCGCAGTATTTTATTTGAATTCTCCCCAGACATATTTTGGAAATGTCCCAAGAATTGAATATCCTTGAGTTTCTTCTCGGAATATTATAGAAGTTTTTTTTTCTCAGTACACATTGGAACTGAAATTTTCTTAAAGTTTCAGAAGAATTTCCTTTGAATTCTTCAGATTTTTTTTCCAAGAATGAGCTTGAAATAATCCTCGGAATTCCCTTGAAATTTTCCTCAGCATCCCTTTGGAATTTCACTCAAAATTTGATTCTCTCATTATTATTTTCGAAATTATGTGGGAACTAACAGCAGGATTCACTACAAATAATTCGCAGAATTTTCATAGAATCATCCCCAGAAATCTTTTCTTCTGGAAATGTCCTCAGATTTCAATACCCTTGAGGTTCTTCTCAGAAGTCAAGTTTAAATTGTCCGTCTATTCACCAAAACGTTGTAGTTTTTCTACCAGATATGTTAAATAAGTTGCTCCTCCTTTCACCAGAACTGTGCAAATTCTACATCAGGAATTTTCAATTCAGGTTGCCCCCCTATGCAGCAAATTGTTGCAAATCTTACACCAGAAATTTTCAATACAAACTTGCCCCCAGAAAATTTCAATTGTCCAGAACGGTGCGAATTTTCCACCGTTAATGTTCAATAAAAATTGCTTCTCCAATCTTCTGATTGGTGCAGATTTCCGTTTTCCATTTTCCACCGGACATTTTCAATCGGTTTAGCATTCAGTGAAGCAGCTTCCCTCCAATCATCAGAAAGGTGCAAATTTTACACCAGAAATTATTATTAATGTTTGTTGCTCTATTCAGCAGAAGGATGCCAATTTAATACCAACATTTTTTTTTCCGAAAAGCTTGCCCATAACGGTGCGGTGTAATAAAGCAAAATTTTAAATAAAGTTTGTACCTTTATTTACCATACCAGTGGAAGTTTTTCACCAGAAATTTTCTGTTCATTTCAGAGAGTTCAGAGCGATGCAAATTTTGCACCAGAAATTTTCAATAAAGCATGCTCCTCCATTCACCAGAACAGTGCACCAAAAATTGTCAGTGAAGTTTGTTTCACTATGTACCTTTGTGGTGCAACTTTCAGGCTTTGCTTCTTCATGCACCAGAATAGTGTAAATTTTCCACCATAAATTTTCATTGAAGCTTAAACTCATCCGAACGATGGAAATTATGCTCCAGAAAAATGAATGAACCTTGCTTCTACATTCGCCACAGTGTAGCGGTCGTTCCACCATAAATTTTCAGTTAAGTGCACACCTCCAAATTTTTAGCGTGATTCAATTTTTACACCAGAGTTATTCATTTTGATAAGTCCCTCCATGCACAACCTAGATGATATTTTTACACCAGAAATATTAAATAAAAAGCTTTTTCTTCAATTTACCACCACGAAGGTGAATTTTTTCAACCTTAATTTTACCCTTCTTCTTTTAATCCTCCATGAACCACATTGAAAAAAAAAATTAACGCCGGAAATTTTTTGTATATACCACTGAGGTGTAATTTTTTGACCAAACAATTTCATTGAAGTTTGTTCCTTTATGCACTTTTGTGGTGCAATTTTCAGGCACCATTTCAAAGGAATTGACGCAATCAAAGGATTTCTGTGCCCTTATATTATGAAATGAAGTTATTTTACCTTCAAATCAAGTTGTCATAAAATTAAGCTTTTTATATTCTAATTTTGTAAATTTGAAAATAAAAAAATCTTACCCTCCTTGCCCCACCATGTGAACGCCAGTGGTCCAATGTCGACCGAACTACTGCACAGTAGAGCGCCTTTAGACAGTAAATGTCCGTGAACTCTTTTGTTAATCGGAAGATAAAGCCTAGAGATTTTGAAGCTTTATTCACTACGAACGACACGTGCTGCTTGAAGGTCAACTGGGAGTTGATGATAATTCCCAAGTCCTTGATTTCGTCACTCTTACCAGTGCTACTCCAGAAAATGAATAATCGTGGAGTTTTGGATCTTTCAGTCGAGAAAACGTAATAACTGAGCATTTTGCGGGAGCGAATGCATCAAGTTGTTGTAGAAACTGAGTGTCAGCCTCAGAACGAATCTTGAAATATAGCTTGAAGTCATCAGCAAACGAAAGCCTTGGTCCATCCAGCACTGCATTGACATCGTTGAAGTATAAAAGGAAGATGCGGGGTCCAAGATGACTTCCCTGCGGAATCCCTGACGTGATTGGAAATGAAGCTGAAGTGGATTCGCCGATGACTACTTGCGAGTGACGACCGTTCAAGTAGGACTGGAACCAATCCAAAAGAGTTCCATGAATTCCAAGCTTTTCAAGCTTCGCTATAGCAATTTGATGGTTGACCTTATCGAATGCTGCGGATAAGTCCAAATATAGTACATCCGTTTGTGCTCGTTCAAGCATACTGTCGGTTACGTAAGAAGTGAGACATAAAAGGTTTGACGCGGTTGAACGACCGGGAATGAAACCATGCTGGTCTGGGCTTAAAAATTGCTTGCAATGAAAGAATAATTGGTCCATCATGGGATGGAAAATCATTTACATTCATTTCGTGCATTAATTTACATTCATTTGCCTCTAACTTTTTTCATCAACAGAATTCCATAAAATAGTGTTTGAAAGTTTTGTAGGCTTTGATATTAGCTACATCTTTTGTAAGCAACTCAAATCTGTATCTCTTATGCATGATGAATCTGAGCGATAAGAACCCACCATTGTTTTTCAGTGAATGTAAATTGCATTCACTGAAAAAAATACCATGTTCTGTCAGCTCTATTTCGTCATCCATAAGAGATACAGATTTTAGTTATTAACAAAAGTTGTAGTTCATATCAAAAGCTACAAAAGCTTTATACATCATTTTACGGTATTCTTTTGATGAAAAAAGTTAGAGGCAAATGAATGTTAATGAATGCACGAAATGAATGTAAATGATTTTCCATCCCTGATCACAACAAGCTCAAAGAGTTTGGAAACAGCGCATAACGAGGATATTCCGCGATAATTATCAACATTTTTTCCTATCGCCGTTTTTGTGTACCGGGAACATGTATACACGTTTCCAGCAGGACGGAAACACTCCAGATGAAAGCGACAAGCTGAAGATCACTTGAAGTGCTCGAGCAAGCTGACAATGCAGTTCTTCAAAAACACCGACGGAATTCCAATTGAATGTGCAGGAAGGCAGCTTCCACACCTGCGTAGGATATCGCACCCATTTAAACACACATGGGCCGGGACCAACGGCTTTACTTCTCTTCCGATGGAAGACGGGACCAGAGATTTGTATGCCTCAGAAAAATCCAACAGACCTCGGCTGGGATTGAACCCAGACCCATTGGGGTGAGAAAGCAGTCACGCTTACCACTACACCACCGGCGCCGGCTACAATAGTTCAGTGCATTTGAGTTCATTGTTGAATTCTTGTAAACCGAACCAAATGAGATGCAAATACACGACAAATCCGCGAAAATCGCAAAAACGGCGAAGTCGTGAGATCCACGTGGATGTGCCCTGGGAAATCGAGGAAATTTCCAGCCCGAATGATTTTCTATACCGGATCGGTAACTAATACCGTGGTCTCCATCCCCACACAGATGCTTTTTAATTGCTTTCTATTCCTGCACCATTTATGCATTCGTATACTCTGTGGCAAGCACAATAACCCTCACGCCTTGGGAAGTCGAGAAATTCAAACTCGCCACCTTTACTGACAATAGGCTCTCGGGGCATCCATGCTACAATCCACCTACCTTCTTCAATATCGCCTTCCAGCAATTCTGCAAGCTCATCCTTTGGGAGGGTACCGTCGGCCGCATTTGGATTGTAGTTTGGAATTTCCTGACTTGTGTTGCAACCCATTGTGAGAGATAATGTGTATCACCGCCAAAACTGTGCTATTTCCATTCAAAACAACTCACACACCGATACTAAAGCATTTTCATTCTTCCTATTTCCACGCCGATCAGATATCCTGCTTTTCTTAAATTATCAATTTTCGTTTCACATCTTCATATTGCAGCCCACCACGAAACCAGATTCACTTTTATATTCTTTTTTTTTTTCTTCAAAACAGTCATCAATCACGAATCGAATTGGATTCCTTTTTGCTGACGAGGTGAAAGTACTAGCCAGCAAACGAAAGGAAACCAAATTCGACCAAACAATTTCACTTCTCGCACTGGTCTTCTCCAGGTGAGCGAATCTTCTTTTCGCGGTTTGAATGACGTGTGAAATACGCGCATCAATTCGATCAAATAGATCAGGACGAAATGACTCGTTTGAGGTGTGGCGCGATAGGTGACTTAAAAATCGATAGCAATTCCAGGGGATGTATTTTTCAGCCGTTGAAGGTATAATAACGGTCTGCTTACAGCACGATTACTTTGTTACGTTGCGAACAAAAAATAACATTATTTATTCAAGGTTATTTTAATTACCATCATTCTTTGTGTATCTACAACAGTATTAACAAGGCATCACAAGAATTTTCACTTCGGTTAGCACATTTTCCACATACCGATATCATTAACTTCCGCTGGTAACAAACTGGCATAAACTTCGAATTACAACTTCCGCCGTTTTACACCTCAGTCAACTATAATCCTAAAACCGAAGTCTATTATGTCCCGCCGCGGCCACACTCACACTATATCGCATAGGAATAGCTTCACATTGCAAACAAAAAATCATTGCACATTTGCTTATTGATTACCCGTCATCGCCGTCGTCGTCTTCGCCATCGTGGGTACCCAGAATGCGATGATGATTATGATGCTCCCACAGGTCTACATATCCCCGTGACCGACAGCACTACTGATATCCATAGGAGTTGCACTTACACGCGATCCTAACTAACCTCGACCGAAACCAACTCCAGGAGAACAGCCAGCGCACCGTTTACAACAACACACGCTCGGAACCGAACCTGCAGCCCATCTGAATGTGGACTCGACCAACAATGAGTTCTTTGTTACGAGGCACTTGCTACAACAGCTGCTACTCCTGCTGCTGCAGACGGTTGTTTAGCCAGGAGTAAACAGTCGGCATGGTGATCGGAATCGGAACATTATTGGTTCCGCCAAACGGAGACGTGAGGTGGAAGGTGCGACCGGTCTCTATTTGAATTACACCTTGCCTACAAGCCTTCACGTTACCCACCCCGGATCCACAATACAACTGACAAAAAAAAGCACCCAGCTCTACCACAACCGATCATCACAATTGTAATACAATTTGAGGAAAATGTTCGCCGTTCCTTTCCATGTTGAGGCCAATCCTGGTCGACCTCATTAGACAGCGCGCTCAATGGCGAACAGCGAACAGGGTTCAATGGGTTGGTGCTAGGAATCGAACAAATTTATCAATAGGAGTCTCCAACATTATAGGTAACGTGCCACCTAAAAATAACGATTTGTGAATGAAAGTTCGTTCTGGAATTCAAGGGTGGCAAATGTAGGTTCACGTTTTGTGCACACTTTTCACAAGGATCAATAGCAGTTCAGTCAGTATTACAATTTAGAATTATCGATTTATGGGCACAGTTTGGGTGTTCACAGTTATTTCAATCAAATCTGAGTGACTGTGTGCTTTCAGGTGCTAAGCGGAAATATTTCGACCAACAATTGAAAAGTGCGGGTAAGTGTTGTAGGTTTGCGAAGGCGAGATTCGGCTCGCGTTAAAAAGGACATTACAAGCTCAGTTTACAAAAGCTGTTAAGCCTTTTTCAATTGTTGGTCAAGAGGTCAAGGCTTACTCCCAGAAGTTACTGCAAAATTAAATCGCAACATGAATATGAATTAATGGAATATGGGGTTATTTATTATAAAGGGTGATACGGTCAAAATTTGGTCAAGGGAAAACGCGTGTAAATCGGTGAAATCGTTTATTTAAAAAATCAAATTAAATTTCTTTTTCAAGTTCAATTAGTATAAAATTCAGGAAAAATATTCAGTTAGGCTTCCGCTTTTCCAAATCTGAATTGCCGGGCCTTACGCTTGACCCCTGCCATCAGATTTTGTACAGCCACCTTGTCCACCTTCTTCGCCGCAGAAAGCCAGTTTGCCTTGAACTGCTGCTCGCCCTTAGCAGTTTTTTTGGTCTTCTTTAGGTTCCGCTTGACAATAGTCCAGTATTTCTCAATTGGGCGGAGCTCTGGCGTGTTGGGAGGGTTCTTGTCCTTGGGAACCACCTGCACGTTGTTGGCGGCGTACCACTCCATGGCCTTTTTACCGTAATGGCAAGATGCCAAATCCGGCCAAAACAGTACGGAACAACCGTGTTTCTTCAGGAAAGGCAGCAGACGTTTATTCAAACACTCTTTCACGTAAATTTCTTGGTTGACAGTCCCGGAAGCTATGAAAATGCTGCTTTTCAAGCCACAGGTACAGATGGCTTGCCAAACCAGATATTTCTTTGCGAACTTTGACAGTTTCATGTGCTTGAAAACATCTGCTACCTTTCCCCTTCCTTTTGCCGTATAAAACTCCTGTCCCGGAAGCTGCTTGTAGTCGGCTTTGACGTAGGTTTCGTCGTCCATTACCACGCAGTCAAACTTCGTCAGCATCGTCGTGTACAGCCTCCGGGATCGCGGTTTGGCCGTCGTATTTTGTTTATCATCGCGATTTGGAGTCACTACCTTCTTGTAAGTCGATAGTCCAGCTCGTTTTTTGGCTCGATGCACGGTTGTAGACGATACACCCAGCTTATTTCCGGCATCTCGGAGAGAGAGGTTAGGGTTTCGCTTGAAACTACCGGCAACTCTCTTTGTCGTCTCAGCGGCTTCCGGTTTTCGATTTCCCCCCGATCCAGACTTCCTGGCTGTCGACAAACGTTCCCCAAACACTTTAATTACATTTGTAACGGTTGATTTGGCAACTTTTAGCGATTTTGCCAACTTAGCGTGCGAGTAGCTCGGATTTTCGCGATTCGCGAGCAAAATTTTGATACGCTGCTCTTCTTGCTTGGACGGCATTTTGACAACTGAAGAGTGAATTCCAAAATCAAAATAGGAGCAACATTCTACACACACACACCTTCAAAATGAGGGGTGTTCAGGTTTTTTAAATACAAAATTGAAAGAAATACGTCAAGTAGATATTGACCAAATTTTGACCGTATCACCCTTTATTGTCGCTATTATGTTTAATTTTTAGTTGGTGACGGTCGAAGCGCGCCACTCATAACCGCAACCCTGCCTGAAAGGATTTTATACAGGTGTACAGGGGACAATGGTACATAACGCACCTCCTGGGCAGAATGCATCAACTCACTTTCATTTGTGTTTTTCAAGGATTTTTCGTAACTTTTTTGATGTCTTATCAAACAGCACTTCTTGCATAGCATCTGAACTTGAAATGGTACATTATAAAACCTAGAATTGGATTAAAAATGTCAAGAAAGACTCAAAATAAAATGGAAAAGTGCATTTTACCCTAGGGGTGCGTTATGTACCATTTTCCCCTACCTTAGATAGTATTTTATGGCTGCGGCTTTATCAGCGAATCCTGCATAAAGAGCCACCAAACTGAGTTGAGTTGACCAACAATCTTCGTGGGGTAGCTGAAGTTGCAAGGCCTGTACTCGAAAAAAAAAATGCTCCAGACAAAAGTGTTCGCCAAAAATTTATTTTAAGTCGGATTTTCTTGAAACTTTCAGGGAATGAACTAATACATATGGATTATGATTCGGCATAATTACTTTATTCAATTTCTTTTCCATCGCTGAAAACCCGCACCTTTCCCTTAAGACCCCTCATTATATTTTGTGCAATGATTGAGCCGAACCTTTTGGTCACTTCATCCATTCTTTCTTCAACTCCAGCTCGTTCTTAAACACCTTGGATGATTTTCGAACTTTGGCCCGGACGAATCTCTGGTGAATTTGGGGGGTTGGCGGTTTTTGGTACAAAAACAACGTTATTGACTCTGTACCAATCCAACGTCGATCGCGCGTAATGGAATGATGCCAGGTCCGGCCAAAATAATGTCTCGCCTTCGGCAGGGCAACAGACGCTTCTGGAGGCACTCGGTGCGGTAAATTTCGCTGTTGATGGACCCATTGTGATTTACGGTTTACTCAGTTTACCGCATTAGCATATGGCCTGCCAGAGCAAGTATTTTTTGGCGAATTTGTCCACTTTCTTCTTCCTTATGTCTTCCGGAACATAAAACCGTGATTTGGCAACGTAGAACTCCAGCCCCGGTATCTGCTTTGCGTCTGCCTTGATGTAGGTTTCGTCATCCATAGCCACACACATCGGTTTCGTTAACCACTCTTGATACAGCTTCCTTGCGCGGGATTTGGCCACCGTGTTTTGTTGATCACGCCGGTTCGTTGCCTTCCGGACCTTGAATACACGAAGCCCAGCTCGTTTCATGGTTTGCTGAACGAACCAGGTGGAACACTTTGCCTTCACAGCCGCGTCGCGAATCGAAAGGTTTGGATTATGCTTGAAATAATCCAACACCTTCCGGGCCTTTACAGGGTCAGTTGTCTTCGATTTTCTTCCACTTCCAGCCCACCGCTCGGTCGTCTGGGACTCCTTAAACGATTTTACCACCCGAGACACAGTTGTATGGGCGATTCCCAGTTGCTTTCCGATCCATCTCATGGCCGCAGTCGGATTTTCCATGACTGGGCGCAAAATTCTCCGGCGATTTTCTTCTTGTTTCGATGACATCTCAATAACCACTGAACCGATTATTATGAAATTTTGCACATGTAAACAATTCACTCTAGTTATACCCAGATTTTCATAAATTTTTACCCACGGATAAAAAAGTTACAAACGGATAAAAATGGTCCATTTTTTTCGAGTGCAAGCCTTAGGTTCAAATTCGTTTGGAACTGGGTACTGCGGAGTCGTCCAATTTTATTTTGCAAGCCAATGGAAAACTGCTTGAAAATTAACGAAAACCGGGACGAAAA